TACTTTCTTTGTAAGCCATGAGTCAAAATAATATCTGAATCATTTGGGTCCTCAGACTTAGGGCTTTGTTTGTAGAATATTGTTCTATTTTTAACTTTTCTGTCAGCACTGGCTTTTAAAGAGGCTTGAAGATTAGTGGAAACTTACCCCCTGGGTATTCCAGAATGTTCTATTGAGAGGTAATTAAGGGGAAGAAAAGGAACAAATTGTACTCCCCAACTGGCAAGCCAGTGAGTTGGTTATATATTCATTTTTGCTGAAGCAAAAGCACTTTGAATTTTATTCCATTCTAACGTCATCTCAAGAACCTCCAAGGTAGTTTAGTGATAACACCTTACAGCTTTGTCTGAAAAATGGAAATGTGAGGATAGATCATGAAATGTGCTCTGAGGTCAATTTGAACCTTCTATCAAATTTACTTATTTTGACATTGAGTTTAAAAAAGAGGAAGCAAATACAAGACTGGGCTTACTGAAACACCATAGCACTAAAGTCATAATGAACTCACAATGTTTAGAAGTAGGACTTGAGTTCAAATCATGTCTCTTACTCTCTTTGTAAACTTGGGTAAGTTATTTAACCTCTCTGACCTCTGATCTCTTCATCTATAAAATGAGGTTACAATACTCACCTTCCTTAATTGTTGGGTCTATGAGATTAATATGTATCAACTACCTAGAATTCTACTTAGCCTTGATAAACATTATCTCAAAGTGGCTCCCACTTCTATTGTTAATATGCTAATTAGATTAAGAATCCCAGTGGGCTCCAGTGGACCCACTGGGAGAGAACATATTGGGGAGCACCATTCTTTTGGTCTTCAGAAAAATGAGTCTTAGGCCACATGATAATAAAGAGTCTAGAAGTTCCAATTTCTTGAAACTTGATAGTTGGGGAACCTATAGCCTGCAAAAACAACTTAATAAGGAAGATTTTCCCTCAGATCCCAAGGAATATTTGGCTGTTTGGATAGGAGTTCATGAATCTCTCACACAGAAAGGACCTCAAAAATAAATAATTTAGCTAAGCATAGTAGCACACACCTGTAGTCCCAGTGCCTCAGGAGGCTGGTGCAGGAGGATTGCAAGTTCAAGGCCAGCCTCAGCAATTTAGCAAGGCCCTAAGCAATTTAGTGAGACCCTGTCTCTAAATTTAAAAAAAAATAGAAAAGGCCTGGGGATGTGACTCAGTGGTTAAGCATCCCTGAGTTCAATTCCTGGTACCATAAATAAATAAATAAATAAATAGATAGATAGATAAATAAATCCTTAGTGTAGAACTGAGCCTCTGTTTTTTTCCTACTTTCTTTTTTTTTTTTTCAAGGTGCCCTGGGTTTCCAGGGGGAAGAGGCATGTGGCTTCCATCAATAATGAGCTGTGAGCTCATTACATGGGGTTTTTGTCTAATTTGCTTCTGTGTATATACCGTATGGTGCAAAAAGGATATTAAAGGGATTTTGATACATGTGTGTCCGTCTGGATGGATGGATGGATAGGTAGATAGATAATGGATGATGCATGAATGGACAGAGAAAACTGACCTGAGGCAGGATGCTTGTGCATCTCTGTGTGCTAAGTGTGGGGTTTTGTTTTTTCAGTTTCTTTTTTAGAAATTTTCACTAGGGAGAAGAGCTTACTGTTTACCACATAGTCTACTACTGAGCACCTATCATCTACCAGGTAGGGTAACAAAAACATCTAGTTTTCATATCATTTGTTCCTCACAACAACTCTATGAATTAGGTCTTATCGATATCATTTTACAGATGAAGAAATCCATGCTCAGAAAGGTTGAAGAATTTGCCCATGTTCAGACACTATGTAAGTCTATGCTTTTTCTGCACACCATGCAATGTAGGCATACCTAGAGCAAAATCCATCCATGCTAGTATAGAAGTGAAGAAGGTGTTCACTAACTCAAAGATTTCTAAGATGCAGGGGGTCACCACACAGAAAAAAAATCCAATGGAATAAAGGGAGTGTTTGCTTGATTTTACATTAGATGGTGGGTGGCATAGAGATGGAGGATATGGAACAATGAAGGAAGGAGAAGGGTACCAGGCAGTCTTACACTCCTGGGATTCTCTTCTAAGTAGAATTCAGTCACTTCTGGGAAGAAGTAAGGTGGGTTACTCTATCCTCATTCTGTCTGAAGGACCCCTGGAATCAGGCTGCTTCACCTGCCCACAAGGGCAATCTCCATCAACAAATTCTTGGGCAACTTGGAGCCAGTGGCGGAAATCAAAGGTCTTGCCTGTACAACTGTATTTGTTCAGGTTCAGAAAAAGAAACAGAACAAGAGAAGAACCTGAGATGTTGATACTTCTGTATGTGCTTCATTGATGGAGTCCTCTCATGAGGACAGTAATAGAAATAGACTGGGGGCAGGAACAAAGATCTAAGCAAGTTTTTGGTCTTAGCCAGAGACTAGCTTCAGCCTAATCTTGTTGTAGCAGGAATCACATTAGAGTTGATACCACCTTGATGTAAAGGAAATATTTTTTTGTACCACCTTCTTAGCCATCATTAGCCATGGGCTGCCCCTGCAGGAGACATATACCCTTTGGGCTAGCTGGCTCCCATTGAACAAGGTCAGTTCTCTAGAGAAGAAATCAGCTGAGAATTACCTTTGGCAACAAGCCTGAAAAACTGCTGAAAACTCCCATAAGGAGATCAGGCAGGACATCAGCAGCTCCCTCAACACCTATCCAACTGCTGTCTATGCTCCTGTTGGCATGGAGGGTATAGAGAACTTCTGCAGGTAATTTGGTTCCTTCCCCTCTAGATGCAGACTTTCTTGATGGGTGGAGATAATACACCTAGAAGTTCATTTTTTCATCCTGGAGGATAGAGGGTAGCAAGCAGGCATTCTTCCCATGAGTCTGCTGTTCTAGAGATTTTTCCCTATACTAGCCGTCTGCCACTGGGGTATCCCCCTCTGTTTCAGTTGAAACTTAGCGTTCTTGGTGTATCCTAACCTAGGTTTTAACTTTAATGGCATGATTCCCTTTAATGCATTATTCTCTTTGAGAACAGCCAACACCATGACATCTTGGGTATATCTTGTCTTTAATCCCAAGGTTTTGTTTCTTCTCTTAGTTCCTACATTTCCCATATTTCCTCTAAACTCCTATCCAACCCTTCCCTGTCAAATTCTATTAATTCCTAACCTGGGGTCAAGGTTTCTTTGGATGAAGAACAATGGAAAAGCAATTATCTAGCTGCTTTTGAGTGCTAAGGGAGTGCAAACTGGTTATGTGTCTAATCTGAGACATTCCTGAGAATGTGCCTTTCCGGTATGGTCAAGACTGAAAGAAACCAACGGATGTAGGCTTTTTTTTTTTTTCTCTTGCCTTTAGACCTTAAAGATTAGTCACAGGATCATGTTCAAATTATTCAATCCAGAAAAAAAGTGATTAACATTTAACTTCTTTAATGGGCAATTACTCAACAGCTATGCCAGTGGGTAAATATTTACTCATCATACATTCCAAGGAGTGAATGTTAACTCGAGTCAAACAGTGACTTGTGTTGGTTCTTTAATAATGGAAAAGTGAATTTATGTAGCTTAAAGAGCTCTACTTTCCCACTGAATAAGAACTGACTGAAGGTTGTTCATAGCTCCAAGCTGGGCTTAAATTACATTTAATTTACTCACCTACTCCTTCCTTCAAAAAAAAATGAAGATTTGTTGTGCTTACCTCTATTCATTGAAATCTGGTAGCCTCAAATCTCAAAAAGTTAAATATCACAAATCTACTCCATTTCTCATTCTTGTCATTATAGATTCAAGTCAGGACAGAAGCAAAGCTAAGATGTTGAGTAGATGGTTCTTTGTGCTTGTAATTGTTCTTCCTTAGAATGGGAAGAATGCTTTGGGAGAGCTTGTCTCATGTGGAGGGAGTTGGCAGCTTCCAATCTCTTTGCTCGTTTGCCTACACTACAGCCAACAGGACTAAATCAAATATCCTAAACATGGCCTCTCAGACGCACATGTGCCTGGAGAGTCAGGGGAATAATGGGCGCCATTTCCGAGACTTTCAATTCACTTCTAAGAAGTATATTTTAATCAACAGGCAGGAAACAAATTTAAAAGTCGAAACATGAACCAAGGTCAGAGGTTAAGGGTCAGGATGTGAAACTTTGATGCTAATATTCCAGGTGTGGCCTCCCACATAGAGGTCAAGGATGCCTGCACAAAACCTCTGAGAGAGACTGGGAAGTCTCATCTTGTAGAAAGAAGTTTGACAGTCTAAAACTTGGTATACTTAGCCAGGGTAGCCTAACTGCTATACTAACTACCTCCAAGTCTCAGGGGCCTCACGCAAATTAAGGTTTATTTCTTGCTCATGTCACATTACAAGGGGAGTAGCCTGAACTCCTTCCATTTTATGGCTTCTGTGTTCCCTAGGACCTTGAAGTCTTTCACCTGGGCTACTGCATCTAGATAGCAGATAAGGGAAAAAGAGAAAGCATGGAGGATAGAGTGGGAGATTTTATGGGCCCACATGTATTCTGGCCAGATGGCCTCACTAACATGCAAGGGAGGCTGGGAAATATAGTCATCTGTGTGCCTGAGATGTAAAGGGAAAGGATTGAGTGTGAAATTAGTCAGTCTCTGGCACACATGGTTTCAAGAACTCTAGATTATTCTTCTTAGAAAAATAAAGGTAGCAGGGGCAGGGGGAGGTGAACACTCTCCTCTAGCAAGCATTTGGAAGAGAGGCAGAGAAAGCTAAGAGGGCAGGCAAGAAACTGCTCCAAAGTTAGTAGGATATTCCTGGAGAGTTGCCAATTTTGAGGAGATTCACTTCCAGTGATAATGGGAGATAAAAATTGTTCTCATTTGGGCTTATTTTTTTCAGGCACAGGCTTTAGAGGGCAAGTTAAACTTACTAAAGCAAAGGATTAGATAAGAGGGAACTATGCTTTGATTGAGGAGCCAGCTGTGTCAGAAAGTAACAGGGAGAGGAAGAGTGGGTCGAGCCCCACCGCAGGTACCTGATTGTGGTGGCCTCTGGAGGTTGGCTGTGAACAGAGAGACTCTTCAGGCTCTTCATTCACTAGGGATGTTCTGGGAAGAAGGAACTTACTGAGAGAGGGTGCCAGAATACTCACAGACTTCTTTCTGGGAGGGGAGGACACTTTTTTCTTTTCTTTCTTTTTTTTTTTTTTTTTTTGAACCTGCCTGTGAAAGCAGCCCTGTCTTAGCTCTTTTTGGAGGAGACCTGTGACGGAAAGGAAGGTTCTGGCAGGGAACTAAGGGAAAAGCAAGGGTTTAGGGTCTCCCCCACCCGGCAGGTAGTATCAGGGGCCTCCAGCCTGGCTTGGCTCCGGCTGGATCACTCTTTCCCTCCCTAGCAATTCCAACAGGCCCTCTGGGGTGGACTCTTTTGTGGCAATTTCTGGCAGTCCCAAATGTGGTTCATTGTCAAGCCTCTGGACTGGTGCCCAGGAGCCTGTTGGAAGTCCAGACTCCAAGTCAAGAAGAACAGAATTAACTGGCCAGGTGCCAAAATAATATTTTCCTTCCTAAGAAAGAATGCTGCCTAGGAAATAAGTTTAACTACTTTCTTATTTTCTTATCTCATCTTTAGTCTCCTTTAGAGTAGTGGCCATTAAAAGACAGTTTAAAGTATACCCTCCTCCCCTCCAAAAAAAACTGTTTTATTTATTTAACAAACATTTATATGATGGTTACTCTGTGCTTTACACTATTCTGTGTTATACAAATATTAACTCACCTGACCCTCACAACAACCCCATGCCATAGTTACTATTATTATCATCCCCACTTTACAGATAAGGGCATAGAGGTGAGAAAGGTTTAATGGCTTATCCACGGCTGTGCAGCTTACATGTGATAAACCTGGGCTTTGAACCAAGGCAATCTCGTTTCAGAGCCTGTGCTTACTCTACTGACTTTTTCTATGTTCCTTCCCCAAAGAAAACAGGGGTTTCTTTAATAAAACGGTATAACATACATACAGAAAAATGCACAAATCCTAAGGGTACAATTCAATGAATTTTCACAAACTGAACACATCCAAGTTCGAACATTATACTCCCCCAAACCCAGCATTTCTCCAGGCTCATAAGAGCTCCTTCATCTCCATCTCCACTCCAAGGGCAGTCTCTCCTGACTGTTTAAGCATGGATTAGTTTGATTTTTTAAAATTTTTTATATAAATGGAATCTTACAGTATACCTTCTTTTGTGTCTGATTTCTTTCTTCTGCCTCAGCCTGATTGTAGGGTATAGTTCAAATTTATTTGTGCTCACTACAGTAGAGTATTTCATCTTTTGAGCATATCATAATTGGTTTATCAATTCTATTATTGTTGAACATTCTATTTAAAAATCCAGTTTGAGTCTATACAAATGTTATTGTTGTGTACACTTCTTTTGGTGAACACATGGACATATTTCTATTGAGCATATCCTTAGAAGTGCAAGGCTATAGGGTATACAAATATGCAGCTTTAGTTAACACTGGTAAGCAGTTTTCCAAAGTGGTGGTAACAATTGACAACCCTACAGTGTCCAAGAGTTCCATTTGCTCCACCTTATTGCTAACATTTGGAATTTTTGTCTTTATTTTTAGCTATTCTGGTGGGTGGCATGTATTTCCCTTTAAAAAAAAAGTCCTTATTTTTTTTGAATAGTTTTATTTTACAGTAAAATCGAGAAGGCAGTACAGAGAGCTTGCATATACCCCACACCCAATTTCCCCTATTGTTAACATCTTACTTAGTATGGAACAATTTTTACAATTCAAGAACTAAATTAATACATTATCATTCATGTAATTCTTTTTTAACTACAAATACACTTGAGAAATGAACAACAGTGTTAATGTCTTCTCTGCTTGTCAAAAGGAGGGCTGTTAGGTAGCAGTTCCACAGTTAGATTATTCAAATGGACCAAGGTGGGTTGATGCTTCTAGTACAGTCATTTGCTCAATAATAGCAAACCCACCAGATGATACAGGGAAGTTGTTACCTGGTGTAAATCTTTTTGATGATCATTCTGGATCAGAGATTCTTCAGATGTGGACCAAAGAAGAATATGGAGCTCCTGTTAAAATGGCAATGTTTGGGCCTCATTCCACACTAAGAATCAAAACATCTGGAGATACAGACCAAGAATGTGCCTTTGTAAAAGAAATTTCAGTTGGTTCTAATACCTGATAATGTATATTCTAGACATAGAAAAGCAAGCTCAGTAAACAGTACCTGTGATATTTTAAATCCAGGGGTTATAGCATTGTCTGGGCTGGCCAACCAATACTATCACACTCATGAGTTCTTCTTTTAATAATAAAAAAGTACATGAACAAAAAGGAAGTCTATTCATACCAGAGTCCTAAGGAGGATGAGTCTCAAGTTAGGTTTCCCAAGACCTTGAGTAAAGAGGTTACATTGGAAAACTTATATGCAGCTGGTCCCCAGGGAGCAAGGAAGCTGAGACAGAGAAAGAAAGTTGGGGATCTTGGCCCCTTTAGAATCTCAAAAGGAACTTTAAAGTTAGACAGGGTGTGGAGGACAGCAGGAAGAAATCAGTGTGTAAAATATTCCAATGGCAAATTCCAGAAAAACAGCAGCCAAAGCTAAATGGGACAAGAGACAATACATATTAATTTAAGACAGTGTCCTCAATCTAGTGGCATGTTTATTGAAATAGCCTTTTGCATTCTAAAAAAAGCACTGGGGTGCAGACCTCTGATTCCCTGCAGGAAACTACAAATTCCTAGGAGGGAACAACAGCCCCCATTCTGCCTTTAATAACAAAAGGCAATTATTTTTAGTATTTTCCAGTAGATCTCAGCTGTCTGGTATTGTCAGACTCTATTCATGGAGAGGTGGAATTTAGAGAGAGTTAATTCAGTGGATGGTGAGAGGAGCAGGGAGGGAAGGCAGAAAAGGAGAGAGAGGAGGGAAGAGGGAGGGGGAGAGAGAAGGGAAAGAATGAGAATATGAGTGGGAACTTACAAGCTTTTTCACTCTAGTACTATTATCTGGCATGATGGCCCCCAAGGCAAGGTGCCAGTCATATAATAATAAATGCCAAGATCAAACCTCTGGGAACAAATATAAAGGGACTCTAAAACAAGCAATTTGTCAAACTGGTTTCGGGGTACAAGGAAGCGTAAAGAAACTGGGGAGAAAGTAGGTCACTGATAAATTCTGTGGAAACTGCTGGGAAGGCATTATGGGTACTAGTGTTATAACTAATTAAAAAGTGGTAAAGCCATAGAGGGGGTTGGCATTGGAGGTGATAGTAAGTGGGAGGTCATGGAGGAGAGGATGAGTATGGAATCAATCTCTTTAAAGCTTGGAAAACCCAAACTTATAGACTCAGCAGATCTATGGATGAATAGCTGGGTGAGGTAGAGGAACGGACATCTCGTCTCCTGCCAATTATGTTTCGAAAAATTAAGGAGAAGCAGGAAGGTTGTCAAGTGTAGAGAAGGCTGTGGGCACCATTTGTCATTCATAGGGGTAAGGCACTATTTTGCCAATTACAGACAAGCAAATGAACATTAATTCATTATCAAAGTCAAGGTATAAACATGGAGGAAAATCCTAAAAGATTCTGAGCATGGGAGAATTGTATATGATGGGCAGTTTAAGTCAAGATAAATGGATTTTATGATGCAAAGGAGCAGTTGTCCTAAAAACTTACATAATTATTGGATGAAAGAGGAGAACATTATGTCTTGAGTTTTAAAAGCTGTTTCTATGGTGTCTTAAGAAATCTTGCTTGAAAATTCATTCAGATTGGCTTGGATACTAGCAGTCTCAGTAGATTTTTAAGTGGCTTAAGGAACACAGTCCCAAAACGATAATTTATAGAAACATTTCAGTCTGGGAGGAACACAACTAGTACTTATTTTTTAAGGGTTTGCTGTTAGCTAGTGCTTCATTTGATCTCACCCTCAGTATTCTGGGAAGCACCGTGAGAGAGATCAGCTTCTTTTACATAAAAGGAGATTTAAACTCAGAGGTGTTAAGTCACTGTCTAAAGTCACAAAGCTTATTTTAAAAACCCAGATCAAGTTCCCAACTACTGTTATTTAACTTTAGGAGTCGCTTTCCATCAGGTTCTCTTATAAACTGGACTTTAACATATAAATGTGATGTGTCAGTGCATGCCAGGAAGAAAAGAGGATCGGAACCAAAGTCCTCCTGCAGGGCTTAGATAGAAGTGTTGGCTAGGATGGCAAACACAGTTCCTTCTAAATAATGCAAGCTAGGGTTCCTAAAGAATTGCATTGGCAAGATTAAGGGTAAGAACTAACTCTCTCTCTCTCTCTCTCTCTCTCTCTCTCTCTCTCTCTCTCTCTCTCACACACACACACACACACACACACACACACAGAGTCAAACTCACTCTTTGGTGTACCATGGCATAATTTGAGCAACCATTTTAGAGTCTTCTCAGGAAAGCATGCTGAATGCTTGGAATTGGTGAGACAGGGAAGGGATGGAGGGTCATGCTCTCCTTCTAAATGGGCCTCTGGCCTATGGTAGTAACTGAACATGCTTCTTACATGCTTCAAAACTGGATCAGGGAGGTTTCTGAGAAAGAAAAGGAAAGATTGTTCAATGGAGATGGTCTGCTACAATCTTAAGAAAGCAGGCTCTGGAAGGTGCCCTGTGAGACATTACTAGAGAAAGGTGGTGTATTCACTGCAGATTGCAGAGGAAATATCCTGGTGAGATATAGATTACCTGGCATGGCAAACAGTATGGAGTATCCTAGCATGGATACTAAAAGCTCCCTGCTGCTCTGCTAAGTCAACTTTGACCTTTCTTTCTCTGAGAACAATGTTTAGTTCAAGGACACAAAAAAAGTCTTTACAATTAATTCTTGAAGTGGGATTTCTTGGGGGGGGGGGCAGTGTTAGAACAGGAGGCTAGTTGGAAACAATCCAGCTACCATTAACATGATAAAATTTTCATTGTCATTTTATATATATTTGCTCACACATTTGCATTTCTTTTTCTTTTTTTTTTTTTTTTTGGAATTTAGCAACAATGATTTCAGGCTTGGGGGTTTAAATCAAGGTAAACTACTTTTCCTCGTTCTGTAGAGAAGATTCGAGAAAT